CATCACAAGCAACTTCCATTCAACAAGTTATGTGACTTCTAGAGACAACTCCAGAAATTTATGTGAACATGTTATTATATATATTCTCTATGAAGTTGCTTGAAGATTTGACACAAAAAAGTATTCTTTATGACGATGTGGTCAATTATTTATATTATTTTCATGACAACGGGGACAGTTGAATTTCATTTTTTATCGTTAGACAATTTATATTTGTTTTTCATTGTAACACTGTTTATGTTGCTTTTGATATACTCTGGATATATTGGATCGTATAATTTGTTATTTATTTTTTAAAATTTATTTATGATTGTTGTTTGTTTAAGTAATGTTATGATTGTTGGTGGTTGAATGGAGTGATTGTATGCTTTTTATTGCTACTTTATTTGTAATGTACTGTGAAAATATTTATAATTTATTTTATCAATATTTTATGCAAAGATGTATATTTTGAATCTTAATTTTATTCCAGTTCTTTTGCATGCATTTTTTCTTTCTTAAAGGGTTTGCTTTGTTGGTTTAAACATTCAGAAAAGATGAGCTCAAAGACTTCATATAACTTTAGAGCATTGTACTGCTACTCTGGACTACAATGTTCTCTGTTTACTTCGCGACAACCATATAACTATGAGAAATAATTTTACATGTGTCCAAAGAGAAGAATATAAAGATGTGACTTCTTTAGGTGGGCGGATGGGTTGGAGGATTTCACCCCGATAGTGATCAAATGTTGAAAGTTTCGTTCGAGGACGGATTATCTCATAACATTAACCAAGTGCATTTAAAAAAAATATTATCATATAATTAATTGTTATTTTTTAAATTTTAATTGTCATGTTACTCACTGTTTAGTGAGATGTCTGCTTTTATTTTATATTGTTCGAACTGAATATTTGTTTTTATGTGTGAAATGCACTCGTAGGATTGGTTTTACTATAAATAACACCATATTACAATAACATAAAATTCATTTATTCAGAAACAACCACCACACTAATGTTATAAAACTGTAAAAAATAAACGCACAACCAACTTCTCCATTGGCACTGCTTTTGCACAACAACATTTTAATAGCTACATGTCACACGCCGCTAATCTCAAAGAAATTGACTATACAACCATGACATGGAAAATTCTAGAAAAGACCAGATGGAGGAGAGCAATCCA